ATACTATTACTGTACAGATTATGCTACAAAAACCTTTACTACTTTATTTTTAAACATATATATATATATATCAGTTTGCTAATAAAGATACAAAAAAAAATTTTTAAATCTTTTTAAAATACAGTACAAAATCTTCATTTAATGTTCGATCACTATTTAAACTATTTTTAAAATTACAAACACAAATAATAATTATATAAAATAGAACTTCTAATTATAAATATACAAAGGTGAAATTTTGATACAAATAATGTTTTTGTTTTTGTTTTGTTTTTAGCTAAGCTTCTACATATAAAAGTGCAGATACTCTAATAAGTTGTTTATGTATATACTAAAAAAAAAAAAATTATATTAGTATTAATAAATGAAATATTATTGAATTATTTTAACCTAAGATTTATTCACATAATAGTATCAAGTACAATAATTTTGATTAAAAGAAATAACATACTATCTGCAAATATGGTGCTTCGCAAAGGCCGGCTCAATTTAATCTATTTAAAACTAGTGCAATCAAACATACCTATCTATTTTCACACTACTTAGAAATTGGATAGCCCTTGGTTGATTTTTCAAAGCAGCCATTTTTAGATACTGCAATCCTTTCTCTTTGTCTTTGTTTAATCCAACCATACCAGCATAATACATTCTACCCAAATTAAATTGTGCTGTAGCATTTCCATTTTCAGCCGCTAATGTTAAATAATGCAAAAATGCATCAGTGTCTTGAATGATTTGATCATGATAAAGCGAAAAGGCATAACGAAGTTGCGAATCTGCCACATCTGCATCAGCGGCTTCTTTAAAATATTTTGTCCCTTTTTTCGTATCTTTATCCACATAATATCCTTCTGTTAAATAATGAGCTTGCCAATACTTTGCGTAGTTATTTCCTAAATCAGCATGTGCTTGAAAACATTCCCACGCTACTTTTTTTTCACCAGATTTATGTGATTTGATACCTTCTTCGAGTAACAATATTGGCTTAACTATACCCAAAAATTTAAGTTCTAAATCTTTGTCTTGCACATTGTTTTCCTCGACTACAATTATTTCAGACTGGGCATCAGTAGTTTCCACTTCAATATGGGTTTTCTTTACTGGGTGAACTTTTTTGTCGACAGGATTATCCTTATGTAATTTGTCCAATTGAATAAATAATTCATGAAGGCCTGGACGAAGAGTAGGATCATCTTGCCAAGCTATTTTTAATAATTTAAATTAATTATCATTTTAATATATAAGGATAACATATATAAAAAAAGTTTACCTGCTCTAATTATTTTTGTGAAATCTCGTTGAATTGTATTAGGACCTATATCCATACTTTCTCTCTTGCCAGCTTTCACATGGTCAATGATACTCGTGTAGCTCCAATCTTTGTATGGAATTTTTTCAAAAGCAATCTCCCATAATAACATGCCAAAGCTAATAAGTACAGCAGAATTAGCAAACTTAAAAGCAAGTTTGGTGAACAGTCACACATACTTATTTATATATAATATTAAATAATAATAATAATACCTAAAGATATCACATTTGTGTGAAAATTTCACTTTATTTCCTAAACGCAACTTTTCCGGAGCTAGCCAATGCACAACAGCCGTTATATTTTCAACAAAATATCTACTGTACTTTGCAGGTCGACCGAAATTGAA